TCCGTGCTAGGTGCGTTCCTCTAAATCTTCATACCAATATGACCGAGTTGCGAAAACAAGGTCAAACAATTTCTATAAAACGAAAGGAGACTGCGACCACACAAAAGGCCACACTATCTTGGTCTTCATACCCTCGATACTTTTGATTAGTTGCCGTATTTCATGCAATACACTCCATAGCAATCCAGTTTGTCTAACTTCTCGTATTAGGTCGACAGGCTAAAGAAGTGTCGTATTTTCCTTTGATAATCCATTTTCTTAGTAACTGTGGCAATTTTTGCGGAGTTTATAGGAGGGAAAAAATATCCATTTTTTTTGTCCTCTCTACCCCCGATTTTATTTTCACAATATCTAAGTTGATATCTGTTCCTTGTGTTCTTCATATTTGCCTCTATGAATTATCTTAGGTAGTCGCTACTAAGGCATATTCGAATCAGTTTGTTCAACTCTTCATCCCAGAACTCCATGTCTGTTAGTCTTAAGCTTGTGATGATCAAACTCATCAGTATTCCGGTCTCCAATCCATTTAGATAAGCAAGTAAGAAATTGTGATATAGGAGATGTGAATAAAGCAGAACAGGAGAGATACCACAAATGTTTAGCATACACATGATCGAAGGTTTGACTTCCCTTGTCTCTTTGACGAGTTGTTGTGTGATGTTAAGAAAGGCGGGGCTCACTGACGATGCCGGCGAAATGTCTGGGAATGCACCAAATACACGGTCAGACTTTGTAAATTAGCATGCATACTATGGACTTCGAACAAGGTGCATTCCTTTAGGTCCTTCTGGTAATATGACTAGTTGTGAACTATCAATATTTCCAAATACATGGCTCACCCTCTTCAGCCTTTACTGCTACTACAGCCTCACGTTCATCCACAGAACGAATTGAGCTGTTGCCACTGTCCCCTGAACACACACCTTGGGGCTGGTTCATCGACCCTGCAGCACAGCCAGAGGTCTCCCATTCACGCACGAAGTTGATTAATGAGCCGAAGTAAGGCGCCAGAGCTAAATCAGCATAGGCGGCAGTGTGTACGGTGATCGCATCTCTACAGCGTAGCACCTCAGGAGAGTCACCAGCCCCCTTCTCCTAAGAGAATATCAAAGTTGTAACAAGAATGATGATAAATAGTGTTCAAAATTGTCCAATCAAAAGAGCATATATAAGTACGAAATCACATATCAGAAAGTGGCTAGCGGCAATTTTCAAATAATTGAAAAAATTACAAAAAATTGTTTGACCTTGTTTTCGCAACTTGGTCATATTGGTAGGACTTAGAGAAACGCACCTTGTCCGGAGTCGATTGTCTGCATAATTAT